TTGTCGCCTTGCAAGAGCGGCGTGGACGCGCTGATGTTGTTGTGGTTGGCTATGCTGTTGGCCACTGACTTGGTAGACGACGAGCCGACGCTGTTGGCCGCGTGCAATTTCGAAAACGATTCGATTGGTTTTATCGGTGGCACAGGTGCCGATGTTTCGGTGGTTGGAGTTTTCTCGCCCAACAGCCAGTACGTCGTCACTTTTCCTTTTCCCTGTGCGAGGCAGAGAGTTGAAAAAAAAAATGATTTTAGATTAGTAGGTAGGTACACTGTGCATATAGCAGCGGAAGTGATGTGGTGCAAATTTATAGACATAATAGGTATTAATTAGGAGGGCTATAAAAATCGGCAAATTTGAAACAGGAAAAATAAATCTATAGAATTGTTATTTTCATAAAATTACGTATCAAGGAAATTATATAATAAGGGAATGATATTTTTCCGAACAGAATTAACTAAGGAAAATATAAAACAGTGTAATAATATAATGCTGAACCGTATCGGGAACGAGATGAATTAGGAAAATATCGCTCGGAAATGTATAATAAAAATCGGGACAACATTTTTGAGTATATTATACAAGTATAGATCTGTATTAATCTAAAATCGTATTAATAGGAAAAAAAGCATAGGACTGGATGCGACAGGAAAGTTATTCACAGGAAAATATTCAACAGATAAAGTATTAAAAAGAAATATTATTTTTCTCAGAATTTTATAAAATAATATTTCTTTTTAATACTTTAATACCTGTGAATAACTTTCTGTCCCATCCAGTCCTATGCTTTTTTCGATTAATACAGATYCACTTGTATAATATACTCAAAAATGTTGTCCCGATTTTTATACAGTCCTGGTCGATATTTTCCTATAATTTATACTATTCCTGAAAAATACGGTTTCGTGTTATTATTTTACTGTTTAATATTTTCATAAGTTAATTCTGTTTTGAAAAATACCATTCCCTTGAAATATTTTATTCCCTACAAGAAATCAAGTCCGAATAATTTTATTTTCCTGAAATGAATGGTCCCATATGAATAGTTTCCTCATTTATATGTGATCATTGTGCTCCTTATTAATTACATAATCTGATATCAGTCCAAATCAGTGACTTATAATATTAATTGACCTATAGAAGTTGAAACTTAATAGTTATAGGTACATAGTATTAGAACTATATAGGTATATTTTTAACACTCTATCTTAATTACACATTTATAGGTATTATTATAATAATTTATTTTTATTAAAACTAAAACGTGTATATATTATTACATCGAATTTATAGAAAAATATCATTATAATTTATTTGTTGAAAAATGCGATATTTATTACGAACTAACTGATTTAAAACTTTCGACCGTCATAAAAATGGCAATTTTGAAGATATCAACAAACTGTAAAGACCGAAGTTGTTCAAAAAAAATAAAGCAATCGAAATCCGGTCTTAAAAAAAAACAGTGATTCCTATTTAAAATATTTTTATTTTACTACGCATGCGCTGATAAAAATAWTTAAAAATTAGAATTTATCAAAAACAGATGTATTTATAAGTCCTATTTGCAGTATAAAAACCCCGAATCAAATTCAAGGTCACGCGATTTAAATATTTCCTATTACCTTTAAAATTGAACACACGKTATATTTGATGCATAATTAGAACGGGGGAAAAAATGAGATGATGTTATGATAAATAAGCTAATAACTGTGATGATGTAATGACCAATGATTATTTACAATGGATTATGTTATACCTAATACTTTTGTGTTATTCGCAGCTGTATAGTGATATGTTATATACCAGGTGATAGGTGATTYTTTGAAAATTAAACTCTCCTTTTCCCGAAAAGTATCCATACTTATTAATGATAAGGTAAATATTTTTTTATTGAAGGTCACTACAAAAAAATATATTTAATTTTTAAACGACACGTTCGATTTCTTWTTTTTTTGAGATTTTCAATGCACGAAAGAAAATTGATTGGCACCTCAACTTCCCCCTGTAGATAAAAGTTCTTGAATGCGCCACAGAGCTGCCTGTCGTCGTTTTTTCAGCCAAAATAATATCATATATATATATAATATTATTTTACCTATATGTAACGTATAGCGTGCAGATAATATTACACACAATATATATTATATATATAGGTATATATAATAATGTATATAAATAAAATCCTGGACGAGGACAAAAATGGCGAGTAATGGACTAGAAAATAATGGACCTAAATCCATTTTCTCACCTTCATCTCGATTTCGCCTCTGAGTTCCAAGTCGAACGTGCCAAACGTGTCGAGCACTTCTTTTGTTTGAGGGCTCACGTGGATTTTTAACGCTAGAAAATACACACACAAACACGCACACATTAAAAATG